GATTGGATTTTGCGACCGGAATGTGTCATGATTATTTATCTCGTGAATCAGCTGGCTAGTGGCTACAATACGTCATTTCCTTATTAAACATTAATCATAACATTGTGATTTCACAGATCGGTCACGTGGTTATTATTGACTAACAGTTGTTTTGATTAGCTTTATAATAATAGAGTTCTTTGATTAATTAAAAGAAAAGAGTTCATTCTTCGTTCTTCTGTCTTCACTGGAATGTAAACATTAGAAGTGAATGCATGACCTTGGGCTGTTTCATGCACTCTGGCACTGTGTCAAACAGAACAGCTGTTAGAGGGGAGAAATGGTTCCTTCATCACATTACAGTGCACTTGGTATTCATGCACTTTTCCAAAGCAACAATAATCCAAAACACACATCTAAAGCTACTGTTGCGTTTCTGAAGAAGAACAGGGTGAAGGTGATTGAATGGCCAAGTATTCCACCTGATTTCAACCCAATCAAACACCTGTGGGGAATATTGATCTAAATTCTAGACCAATATTAGATACAAAAATAAATGTTTATGCATGTTGAAGATGTCAAGAACACAGAGGAAATTCACAGTCACCACCTGTTTGGAAAAATCTTTATAATCACCCAAACCCAATCATAGAGGAAGCATACACTAAGGCAATATTTACAACAAGGTCTGATGGGAGATGAACTTTGACCTTTGTGGATGACAGTTTTTATTCAACTAATTTTTTTTTATTTGCCACTTAAAACCAGTAAACATTCATCACAGTGTGTGTCAGTTCCGGGACATTAACCTCGTAGACCTTCGGCTCATATTTCAGCTCCCTGCCTCCATGAAGAACATCCCCTCTGAAGCCTCTCTGACCTCAGATGTGAGGATAGGAAGGCTCTTCCAGTCTGAGGATAATGACTTTTGTAATATGAATAAATGACAGCCCTGTCTGTCTTTGCACTGAGCTCTGGAGGAAGTGAATTCTGTCAGATCTTGTCCTGGAGCACATCTCAGGTTTTAATGAGTACCAGTGATGATGTTATCATCTAACTCTGGGGAAAGCTGCTTGGGATTAAAAACAGCCAGGTCTGTGCCCCCTCTGCCCTTCCACATCCTAAATGATGACTAATTAAGCCCCACAGGTAAAAGAATTTACCAGATATTTGAGAAGACAACTAACCTTGGTTGAAAATCTGAGAATGCTGTTGCCATGGCAACATTTTGACCTTTACCAGTTGTTATTTAGAGTTTTGTAGGCGTCTAATTTATTTTTAAATTAATGTATTTTTTTTACATATGAAGAGCATCTCTCTCATTATCTCTATTCTTGCAAACTCTAATTAGCTTGCAGAAGGTTGTCTCACCTGTGGTGAGAAACAATGCAGTGACACACTTCACTGGTTCTGCTTTAACACACACACACACACACACACACACACACACACACACACACACACACACACACACACACACACACACACACACACACACACACACACACACACACACACACACACACACACACACACACACACACCATGGCATTTTTAAACAGTTGTGATCTAATGGTGCATATGGAGCTGTTAGTGGTCTACTCCGGTTATATGGAAAGATTTAAATCCTGAATTTGATGACTTACCAGTCTGGGCTCAATGCAGACATTTAATTTTTTTAAACAAAATTCAGAATTTAAAAAATGATTCACTTTCAAGTTACATTTATTTTCATTTTAGGCAAAATGCCTGTTTAGCCCAAAGTTATGGACTGGACACACTGGTTCCAGGCTGTCGTCTATAAACCAGTATGAGAGGACTGATATGTACATTTGCAAGAACAAGTTGGTGAGCATGGACTGTTGAAGCAGCTGGCTTCAAAATAGCTGAGCAGGAGTGATCCAACTCAAACACTAGAACAGAAAAGCTTTATTGTCATTGCACAATAACAGGACACGTGGGGTGTCAAACATTTAGAAAATATTTTTAAAGTAAAAGTCCCAGCCACTGCCATTCTGTGTTTTGGTTTCCCTCATCTTTGATAAATGATTTCACTCACCTGTCCCTGGGAGGAGACCCAAGGGAAGACCCAGGACATGTTGGAGGGACTATGTCTCTCAGCTGGCCAGGGAACACCTTGGGATTCCCCTGGAAGAGCTGGCCCAAGTAGCTGAGGAGAGAGAAGTCTGAGCCTCTCAGCTTAGGCTGCTGACTCCGGGACCTGACTCTGGATAAGCGGTTAAAAATGGATGGATGGATGAAAGTGAGACAAATGTTGCATTTCTACTATTAGAGTTCCAAGATAATTCAGGGTGGGAGAAGGTGACTGGGAATATGCAATTACTCGGTCCTGTCAGCCGTTGTCTCCATACAAAATCTGCCCTTTCAGGACTTTGCACAGATTTCAGCATATCACGACCCTTTCAGTAGTAAGCGATCAGTGCCAAGAGTTATCCACGGACATAACATGGAAAAAATGCGTTATTCGATCAAACTCCGCCATAATTTAATGGTAAATGGTAAATGGCCTGTATTTGATATAGCGCCTTCTAGAGTCCTAGAACCCCCCAAGGCGCTTTACAACACAATCAGTCATTCACCCATTCACACACACATTCACACACTGGTGGGGATGAGCTACAATGTAGCCACAGCTGCCCTGGGGCGCACTGACAGAGGCGAGGCTGCCGAGCACTGGCGCCACCAGTCCCTCCGACCACCACCAGCAGGCAACGTGGGTTAAGTGTCTTGCCCAAGGACACAACGACAGCGACAGACTGAGCGGGACTCGAACCAGCAACCTTCCGATTACGGGGCGAGCACTTAACTCCTGTGCCACTGTCGCCCCATGCGGGGGACAAGTAGAGAGGCTGTGTAACATAAAAAACAGCATTCATTGACCAGAAGAGGTGCCATTTTATCCAGTGCACTTGGTGGACCACTAAGAGCCATACATTATGACGTTATGGGGGTTTTCTGACACATGTTGCTGCATTGGGAGTATACCAGTGGTGGGCAGTCAGGGCCAGCAAAGCCTTCTCTGCTGGCCTAAACATACTCAAAAGCGTAAATGTATTTTTTTTCCTTTGGTAATTATTTTTAAATAAAAAAATGTTTACTGGTCTATTTTCTTTATATCCTATTATAACCACTTGGCTGCGCTGCTTCCAGTGTTAAAATACCAAGGCTGGGTGTTATCCAATCAGATTTAAGCTAGCTTGTGTTTTCAGGCAGATTAAGTCTGCTCTAGGCCTTCAGAATCAATCTAGAAGCCCACTGTCTGCTGTAAGTGAACAGAGATGATCTAGTTGCGATAGCCAATCAGCTCACGAGTCAGCTTGGCCCGGGCCAGCTAGCTGGCCTCACGCAAAAGTTGACATGAACGCATCCTGTGATTGGATAAGCAGTAGTAGTTAGAACTTTTCTAGCGGCATGAAGCAAAATATCAAAACTAAACACAGAGATTTGTATCTATAGGCAGCTATCGGTGTGTTTTTGAACACATGATGGCTGAAAGAGGAGAAGAGACAGACTTGGTTGCAGATTAATTTGCCACACCATTTTCCAGACGGACCTTTCAAGAAAAAATGGATCTTGTGAGAACGGGTCGTCTGACTCCAACGCTAGCTGGCTTGTCCCAGCAGGGGAAAGGATTTGTTCGTCATTTTCAGGCAAGCAACTATGAACGGTACCCATGGCTAACAGCTTCAGAGAACCGCTGCAGGTTATTCTGCTGGGAATGCCTGTTGCTCGCATCAGATGGATTTGGTAGCATTAAAGGGCGTTAAAACGTACGCCAGAAACACTACCCGACAGACACGTCTTTCAGCATTAGCCTCCATGTCCGTAGAAAAGGATCTACTCATGGACCTGAAGCGCACAGATAAACTGTACAGAGCCATTGAGGTTTTCCTGAGGAAAGAAAGAAGGATGGATTTTATTTTCAAATGAGCAGGAGAGGAGGAGATCCATGCTGGACATTTATGTTGGTGAGTGGAAACATTTTATTAGTATTTTTTTAATGTTTTGCCATTTTATTTTGTTAATAATCAATAAATGGTAACGAAATAAAATGGCAAAATGAAATTATTCTGTGTTCTGTTTCTATGCAATTTATATTGTGAATGACGTGGTGTGTGCAGCTGCGCCAACATGTTCAATTGTTTCGCGGTACAATTTTCTCCAAAACAAATGCAAATAATGTGTTTGCTTTACTTATTTATTTTATTGTCTCATCTCTTAAACCCGTCTTTCATTTCTGAGATTTGACGGTATCCGTGGTCAGCTTCCTACTCTCAACTGGGAATGCGAGTTTGATTTTAAAGACTCTGGAAATTATTTGTCTTGACCAGCCACTGGTGTGTGTGTGTGTGTGTGTGTGTGAGGTTTCTCCAGCTGTGATGTCCTATTGATGGTATTTTAGGTGTATTAAATTAGATTGGACTGAATAGGAAATCACTGAAGGCCCAGGGGTGGAACGCACCGCCCGCCACTGGAGTATACAAAAGGTGATTTTATAACAGCATCACTGTTTATTTCTTTTCCTTCCATTTTGCTTTATCAGCAACTCTCTTAATTTTTCAAGTACTGGTTTTGTCAGCTAATATCATTTCCCACTGAGTAAAAGCCATACTTTGTAACTTTTTCCTATTGTCTTGAGTATGTGCTAAAATGACCCTTTACAGGGTTAATGAAAAGTCACGCTATCACCCTCTGTGGCCAGAATATCACACTTGCAACCTCTATGTGGCACTGCAGTCTGCTTCCAGCACGTTGCTTGCATACTTTAGATTCAGATTTTTCAGACTTCAGATTTATTGGCCAAGTAAAATTACATTTACAAGGAATTTGTCTTCGGTAGATGTTCGCTCTCTAAAACATACAACAACCATAATAAGTGAAGAATAAAAATACCTAAAAACACATAAGCTTTATGTAGCAGGATGAAATAAGCCTGCTCCATATGTAGTGGGTTGGTGCATACTGGCTCCTGTACTCATGAGGGTGCTATGGGTATAAAAGGGAGCTCTGCTCACAGTTGGACAATGCTAAGGAAATGCTGCATTCTGGCGTCAGCTGCTGTATTCAAACTGTGCCTCTGTGGGTGATCAGCTCTGCTTTGGTGGTATGTACTCTACAGGCTAATCAATTAGTTTTAAGGAGATTCATACTCAAACTGTGTTGTGCACTCAACAGCTTGGGCATTTGTTTATTTTGTACTGGGCGTGACGCTACTGCACATCCCAGAGTGAACTGAGCATTGGATTAGAGGTATGTGGCTCCTGTAGGGGACAGCATGTGAGTTGAACTAATCCAACTCAAGCTCTGTGTTAACACTCAGACAGATGTTGAACACCTGTGCGCTGCCGGGCGGGGAAGCTTCCTTGCGGCCTAGATGATACTAGCGGGCGGACCGGTAGGTGTGGGCCTCACCTTCTCCAGATGGTCAAAAAAATAAGTTGTTGACTTGTACCTTTCCCTGCTTTCTCTTAGATTGTGCTCTGTGGTCTGGCGGGTGGCGCAGCTGTTTCGCTTTAGTTATTTGTTTCATTCAGTTTTCCAGTTCCTCCCCCCACGTGGGCTCTGCACGGACCACTGCACGGTGTCGGAGGCTTTCCCACTCTCAGCGTGGGAGTCCAGAGGGGAAAACAACTGTGTTTTAATTAAGTGGTTTTTAATGATTGATCGTTTGTAACTCCCCTTTTCTTTTGTGCAGGCTGGGACAGGAGGTGGTGGCCTCGGTGGTGGCGGTCCCGTTTGTGTGTGTGCTGGTGCTGGTGCTGGGTTCCCTCACGTTGGAGTGAATTTCACTGTTGCCTGGGGTGACTTTATTATATTTTATTGCACTTGTTTCTTTTTGGGATTCACCACCCTGTGTGTCATTCCCTCCTACAGCTAGTCTCAGTCCTGCAAGTTATTCCCTGTGTGTCTTGTTTTTAATCAGAGAAATTTTTAACCATATACATATATTTTATTTTTTTTTTATAAATCAATAGTAACTTTTGGAACCACGTCTCATGCCTCATTTAGTGGAAGGAACCTATGTGCTGCATTGTTGACAACTGTTGGCTGCTCCCTGAAAAAATAAAAGGTTACAGTGTGTTTGGAGCATGCCATATCTATAGCTCCCTTGTGTATAGAGCTCCGGACCCCACGTGACTCTCAGTTAGTAGACGCCATTTTGCAGGTAAAAAAAGGTAAACAAACACATGAACGTTAACGGGATCAGCTTGGATTTTACTTCGTTGGAGTTTACTTCACACTTTAAAACCGAAGAAATTGTTTTATATAGTCAGAAATTAAATAGACTAAACATCTCCGACCCTTACCGTGTCCCTGGGATACTTTTTAAAAACGCCAGAAGCTGTTGGAGCGGACTTCTTACCGGACCTGGCCGGGGAACCCCTTGGGATTTACCCGGAGGAGGTGGCTCCGGCGGCTGGGGAGAGGGAAGTCAGGGCCTCTCGACGCTACTGCCCCCGCAACCCGACTCTGGATAAGCGGATGAAAATGGATGGATGGACAAATAACAGATTTACACGTAAGTAGTTTAAATAGAGTGCTGTGCTGTTTGAATGTATAAACTGAACGCCAAGAGAAATCACTAGTTTGATTTTTTTTTCTTCCGTGAATAAAATAAATATGTCAGGCAGGAGCGTCTCAGGATCTGTCTGAGATCTGTCTCGGTGAGACAGATAATAGCAATCCAAAGTGCTTTTTATGTGTGATCTGACAATTGATCAACCATTGCTTAAAAATTAAATACAGCTTAGCCGGTTAATTGCTGTGATCATAAAACACGTAAACGGCAGCACGCAGAAATCACGAGGCAACGTTTTACGTGATGTTTACTTGTTGCTATGAGTAATAAGACAGAAAAAGCCACGCCAAAATAAGTTTAGGAAGCCCGCTAAGAATCGTAATAAAAGCATTTAAAATAAATACCATACACAGTTGAGGAAACGTTAGTTTAAGTACCTGATATGAAGCGGTCGCTGCATAAGCGAAATCCTTTACTCTCGGGGTCCCACAGTTTCATTTTAGCCTGGTCACTAGTGCGCTTTATTACAATGATCCAACGTTTGCGGCTCCTTCTACAGGATTCTTGGGGAATCCTGTAGATGGATCTTCCCTTGACTTGTCCCCGTCTGTTCTGGCATCCTGGGGCACAACAGGAATCGACCATATTTCCCGTGTGAGATTTATGACAACAAATAGTCTAGCTGCGGGCTTCTGCCTGCCAAAATGGTGCTGTTTCGATTTGAACTGTTGCATGCTGGGAGAAGTGACGTCAACTCCCGGAGCTCTATTGCCACATTTAGATAGTGAACATAGCTGATTTGTTTGATTTAGCGGTGAGCTGCTCCTGTAGACACTACACACAGTGAGGAGATAAGTTTAGCTTTTGGTTCTACTAAACAAACACTAGGGGGTGCTAAAATCAAGCCAGAATTGCCAAGAATGCAAATCAAATCCACCTTCTGCGACCCTGTCGGGAAGCCCAAGGCGCTGAACACGGTACATGAGAGAAACAGGTAAAAACATTAAAGCAGAAAACAAATGGGTAAAACAAGAGATAAAGAGACAGATGAAAGCAGGGAATTAAAATCAACATAAATGAAGGCCTAACTCAAACACATTCAGGGAATACCAAGCTCTGTCTTTCCCTCATTCAGATGCAGATAGTTGGCCATTAGCCATGACCACCTCGTTAAGACAGGACACAAAGGACTCGATAGAGTGACCTTTCTCTTGAGACAATGGAGAGTAAATCTGGCAATCATCAGCATAGGGATGGAACGCTAGGCCATATTTATGAAAGATTGACCCCAGAGGAAGCAAATAAATGGCAAGCAAAAGAGGACCAAGGATCGATCCCTGCGGGACCCCCCAGCGGAGCCCCCCCAAGAAGAAAAAACATCACCCAGTTTAACACAGAATGTCCTGTTATGGAGATACGATCTAAACCAATCCAGAGCAGACCCTTTAATCCCAACCCATCGTTCCAAGCGATCAAGCAAGATCACGTGGTCAACTGTGTCAAAAGCTGCCATCAGATCTAACAACAGAAGCTCCACAGATGTACCCTGATCTAGTCATAGATAGATATCATTTAAGACCCTCAGTAGAGCCGACTCTGTGCTATGGCCAGATCTGAACCCTGATTGGAAGACCTCAAACAGATCAGAGTCAGCTAAGTGTGAGACCAGCTGCTGATAAACGACTTTCTCAAGCAGTTTTGATGTAAAAGGCAGGGTAGAGATAGGCCTGTAATTTTCGATCACAGAGACATCAGCACCAGGTTTCTTCAGGGTCGGCCAAACAACTGCTTCTTTCAAAGCAGCTGGGACAACACCTGTGATGAGGCTCCCATCGATAATCTGACCAAGTGATGGGCCACGACACGGAAAGGCAGCCTTCCAAAGACGAGGCGGCAGAACATGGAGAGCCAGATGGCTTCTGCCTTGCAACAAGCTTACTCAGCTCAGAATAAGAAATGGTTTTGAGGGAGCTCAGGGTGGGTGGTGATGGAGGAACTGGAACAGGGTTAGTCCAATAATAAAATGTGAATGAATCTGGGAAATGACAATGTTTATGATCAGTAGTTATAATAAGTAATATAACTTTATATGTTTCCACTAGAGACTGATCACACGTAATGTTAAGAATCACATGACACATTTCCTCTTTCCAATCCAATCAGAACCTTCCAGATCTGACGTGAGGCGTGTTTTGTTGGTGCTTGGTAAATCTGTCCTTTTTTGATTCGACCGTAAATCAAAACATCCAAATTATAAAACTATGCCCACGTTCAGTTCAAAGCTTTCTAGAGAAGTTGTCGGAGTGGCCAATTCGTAACTTTCCTCCTCAGCCGAAAGAACCTAACGACAAGCTGGATTAAATCTGTTGCTGTTCCACCTGCTGCAACGGTTCTTTTCAGAATAAAAGCCGAACCATCGACCCCTTTTGGGTCTCGCTAGATGCCAATAAAACTGTTGTGACCCGGAAGTATCTCAAGACTGGTCTAGTCGGCAACCGCTGCTTTTCCTACCGGCTTCGGTTCCAGAGAAGGTCAAGCTGGACCTCGACATTCCTGATCTAACGGGGACTTCCGCAAAGGGTACGTAGGCTGGCAGAATGGCATCTCAATGTGTGTTATGAATCTCCAACCAAGCTTAGCATGAAACATCATCTTCACTCCCATCAGAACTAATCGTTTCTCTGGATCTGCTGGTTCTGAACATATTCACACATACACCACTCTGAGTCTTCACCTTAGTTACACCATTCACCTAGTGTTAAAGTTAGTCTAGTTTTAATTTGTTTAGTAATAAATCTTTAAACTTTTAAAACTTGACTCTCACTCTCTTTTCTTGAAGTTAATACGAAGTGTTTCTCAATCCCTGCAATAAAAAAGATCCGATCTTATGATTAAATTTAGTTAAAGATCCATTAAGGTGATATTTCATACTTCGTGATATTTCACATTTTATGGTTTCTAATTAAATGTAGGAACATCTTCTCTACAACTTTAACCTTACAGACGTACAGTCCACAAACTTTGCAACAGTTTCTGCATCCAGGGCTCTGAACCTAGTAGCTGGTGCTTCACACACAGGGACAGGACATAGCAACGTAACATCACAGAGTATTGGAGAGTGGTCAGAGAACACAGGAGGCAAAGTCTCGAGGTTCATGACAGTGAGACCAAAAGAGAGAATCAGGTCCAGGGTGTGACCCCTGGCATGAGTTGGGGACGATACCCATTGAGATAATTGAGTGAATCTAGCAAATTCAAAAAGCCTTTAGCAAGCACATTGTCAGGACAGCAGATTTGGATGTTAAAATCACCAAAAAATAGGACATAGTCCTATTTTAGGATACAGTCTGCCACAAGATCATAGAAATAATTTAGGAAGTTAGAGTCTGTCTTTGGAGGGTGATAAATAAGCACAACGAGCAGGCGGGGAGAGATGCACAGTTCAAATAGGCACAGTTCAAAGGAAGAAAATGACATAATGGGTGTAAGCTCTTTACAAGGAAAGCTGGATTTAAAAACAACAACAAGCCCACCACCTCTGCCCCACGATCTAGGGATATTAAAACAGGAGCTGCCAGGTGGTACCAGCTCCAGCAGGGCGCTTGAGTCACCAAATGGGATCCAGGACTCACAGAAGCACAGAAAACTCAAGCTATGTTGAATTAAAAAATCCCGAAAAATAAAAAGTTTGTTCTGCACAGACCTGGCATTGACCAGACCACAGGCAGTCCAAACAACAATGCCATCCGTGAGGTTCCCAGCGCGCAGCGCACGCTACATCAACAGGAGGACAAAGCCTCAGCAGCGCAGCTTGATCATAAGTTACCAGAGACGCCACATCGTTCATAAAAAGCATCAGTGTTACAAGCCATCTTCCGAGGCTAGCCTTACTCTTCAAAAGATAACGTCTCAGGGTTGACTTGTATTTCTATTTGCGTGGGCGTGACACCAGCCACTCTTTAAAACGCTCTCACTCTGTAGGAGCTGATTAGCAATCACTGCTAACCTAGACTCTGATTCTGGCAAAACCAACTTTATGCAGCTCAAGGGAGACTCAGTTTACTCACAACACACCCTCAGTCCATGAAGCTTATGTACAATTCAGGTTAAGACCCTTGCCAGCTGTTCCTTTTATGTTGAGGAGACAACTGACTTTACCTGTAGCCTAGGATGGAGGAAACAACTTATATCAATTACACCTTGGGATGGCATTTACAACCAGCATCTCACCTTTGCTCGGTTACCGTCAGGAGGAGACCCCACTTGTAAATCCTTTTTTTGTTCCTTGAATCCGAGGAACTAAGTTTTATTTCACACAGATGAAAAAAGAATAATAATTCAAACGAAATCCCAACAAAGTGGGTTAAAAAGTGAAACAACTCTTTGCCAATAAACCGAGTTATAGCAAAGTTGAGCTGAATAAGCTCTCCAAAAATGACACTAGGTCAGGCATGATTACCCCTTCCTTTTCTTCTGCCCAGGATCAAATGGTCATCTCCGGCATTAGCTGGACAAGATGTCTAATTTATATGTTTATAGCATCTTGACCAACTCCACAGAGGATAAAAGATAACATACATGCTTACTCCCAACATCTGTTCAGGTCAAAACAGGTTACATCCACAACATCAATCATTTGACCATATCAGCAGAGTGCAGGCACATCACAAATTTACAACATCACAATTCAGGGGGCTAGAAGGCTGCCTGGACACGGACACACACACAAACATGATAAGAGAAGGTAACAGGCCTTTAGCTTGGTTTCACACACACACGCACACACACACACACACACACACACACACACACACACACACACACACACACACACACACACACACACACACGGATACACCTTGTAGAGCCAAGAGTTGATTTCACATAATGAAAGACATAACCCAGACTTAATTCCATACATTAACACGTCTGATTATACTCCATACAACAATCAGAAACAACAAAAGTGCATAAACGCCAACTTAAAAGCCAATAAAATGCAAGGTTCCATTGCGTGAAGAGGACGAGCAGCTCGCTGCGTGCACCCGCGCAATCACCATCTTGAATGCTGTAAAGTCCTGTAAATGCATCTCAAACCAGCATGAGTCCCACCCAGCGACTCTACTGGGAATTTTTTGAGTAAAAACACTAGTTAAGGTACTCCTTTAGTTCCTGAAATGATAAATAACCTGCACTTGAATAGCGCCTCTCAGAGTAAGGACTTCAAAGCGCATTACACTACAGTGTATCATTCATCCATTCACACACTGATGGTGATGAGCTACAATGTCACCACAGCTGCCCTGGGGTACACTGACAGAGGCAAGGCTGCCGAGCACAGGCGTCACCAGTCTCTCTGACCACCACCAGCAGGCAAAGTGGAATAAGCGTCTTGTCCAAGGATGCAACAGCAGAATTCTCTGTCCAGAGCCGGAATCGAACCTGCAACCTTCCGATTACTGGACAACCCGCTCAA